ACTCCCGCCCCTGACCCAATTCCCCCCTTTCCCACCGCGGGACCCATCGTCTCCCGTTGCGCCCCAGTCTTCGCCCCCCCAACCCACGTGGCCTATCGTCAATCAAACATTAATTAAATCCTTAATATTTTCCGAAAATTTGAATTTGCTTTTTCATTGCTTAAACTATTTTCGAATAAATTCTCGAAATTAATTCGAAAATAATCACCCTTTTCTGCAATTTCGAAATTTCTTCTAAAACATTTCCGAACCTTGAAAATAATTTTTACAAAATAATTTTGCAATTTCTTTGAAATATTTTGAAATTAATTCTTTTCGAAAAAAATTCCTTTTTCGCAGTTAGTTTTTTTTTTCATAGTCAGCAATTATTACTCTTTTCCTTGTCATTTATCTTTCGAAAATTATTTTCGCAAGTAATCAATTTAGCCATTTTTAAATACTTTTGAATCTCGAAAAAAATTCCGAATATTTTGCATTTCGAAATTAATTTCTTCGAAAATACCCTAAAATTTCATTTATTCCACCCAAAAATTGCATTTCCGTTTTTGAAATTCCAAAAAGTTTTCCTTGCAAACATTTTAATTACTTAAATAATTAAACTCCGAAAAAGAACCAAATCAACTTTCAAATCCGAATTCAACTTTCTTTCGTTTTGAAAATTCTCGAATTTATTTTCCAAATTTCATTTTATTTTTCTCGAATTTGATCTTTTTCTTTTCCAACATTTCTTTTCTTTTTTCAAAGTAATTCGGAAGTCCTGATTTAAATTATTTTCATAACTATCAATTAAATTCGTTAAAGAAAAAAAAAAAAAATCAAAATAACCCCCCAAAATATAACAATTGTTTTTGAATTTTTCCATTTATTCCAATTTTAAAATTTCCGCATTTTGTCACGAAAAATAGCCCGAAATTTTTTATTGTCCCTTAAACTTTCTTTCCAAGAATTTTTTCCTTTTTAAAAATTAATCAAATAAATTCAAATTTCATTATCTTGATTATTTAATTTCCCCCCAAATTTCCTGCAATTTTTCTTCGCCATATTTTATTCCATTCGAAATTTACGTTCCGATTTTAATTTTCTTTCCCAAAACTGTGCCCCCGAATTCTCAAACCCCCCCCGCCCCATAAAACCACATGCCACCCCGCCAATCCAAGACCTCCCAACGCGCCGCCGCCGACTCCGCTTCTGCCACCTCCGTTGTCCCCTCCACTCCATCTTCTCCCTCTGCCCCATCTTCGTCCCTCCTCATGGCCTAAGGCACCTCAAGCATCAACATGGGCTCGCTCCTCGTGGATTTCGTCGAGGATATCCACCGCGAACTTATCGACCAGCTAGGCACCAGGGAGAACACATCTCTCCTCTCCATGTTTCAAGCACTCTCTACCTCGCTCCGCATAATCGATCCCTTCGTGACCTCCATATCCGATCGCGTCACCTCCCTCGAAAACCACACACCCGCCATCCCCGTCATCACGACGTCACCACCCCCCTCCTCCTCCGGCCAATCCATCCAATCCAACCCCGCCGGCCAAACCGGCCAACCATCTTCTTCCGGCCATAATACCCAATCCCCTCCTCCGGCCAATCTGGCCAAAGCCTCTCCGCCGGCCAAGCCGGCCAGGCCTCATCATCCAACACCACCCCCCCACCGTCCTCCACCACACCTTCTTTCACCCCCGTCACTTCCCTTCCCGTTTCCCTCCCCTCCTCACAACCCACTACAAGCGCTTTCACACGCGAACCACTCCCCTTCGCCTCTCCTCCCCCCTCACCCAACCTCTCCTAACTACTTCCACCATCCCCTCTGTCCACCCCTCTTACTCCCAAGTCCTTTCGGGCATTTACCCCGCCATACCCCAACATCCTCCTTGCTACCTCCTTGGTGACCGCAGTGAGGATCACACCTGCTATGACTCCTCTCCTGACGACCGCAACTTCAACAACCTCGCTTGCATCGTCCCCCACAACGGGGACATTCCCCGCTCCTTCCGCGCCACCGATATCGCGACGTTCTTCGGCCTCCCCCACGAGGACGTCCTCCTTTTCCTCTCTCAAATCCAAAATGCTTTCGACCTCCACAACATGCCCCTCGCTCATTGGSTCCCCMCYGCAMCCTCCCGCCTCCAAGGCGCCGCCGCTCAATGGTGGTTAACCGAAGCCAACAACCGCCGAGCCAACGGCCTTCCCCGCATCACCTTCCTTCAATGGGCCGACCTTCTCATCGCCACCTTCCGTCCTCAAAAGACCATCGATGACTACATCGATCAATTTTGCAGCCCCCGCCAAACCGGCCCCACCGAGCGATTCATCCATTACGTTCGCTCCCTCCTCCTCCACATCCCGTCAACTCTCATTCCCGACTACGTCTTCATCTCCCGCATCAAGCGGGTATGCTTCCCCCACCTCGCCGCAGCCCTCACCCATGAGCCCGAGCTCCCTCTCACTGATCTCCTTACCCCCCTTCTCCACCATGATCGCCTTCCTCACCTCCGCTCTCAACGACCAGCCACCCCCTACCGCACCCGGTTCTTCCACAACACGCCCTCCGACGACTCGTCACTCCCCTCCGACGACAACTTTGACTCCTCTCCCGAGTCCCTTGACCCAGCCCAATTCACCGAGGAAAACTTCCATGCTGTCCATCTCATGAGGATGGAACGGCAACGCCTGGCCTCCCAGCTTTCCTCCTCCCCCCAACCCCCTCGTCTCAAAAAGCTCACCCCCGCCGAACGCGCCTTCCTCCAGGCCAACGGTGGTTGTTTCCGTTGCCGCCAGCTAGGGCATCAGCAAACCAATTGCCCCAAGGCCGGCCGCTCCACCCACCAGACTTCCCGCCCCACCGGATCCAGCCCTCCCACAACCAGTTCCTCCTCCTCCACCGCGGCCTCTGGGCCCTCCTCCTCTTAAACACTGTCCCCCCGCCCCTTGTAGCCATGCCCTCGCATCAACAATTCGTCTGCCAATCCCTCCCCCGGCGACAACTTTCACACCAGACACCCCCCAGGCGTCGCAATCTACTCCGCCCCTCCTACCGACGACGTCCTCTATTCCGTCGGCTGAGCACCCCACGGCCACATGTTCCACTACCCTCTACCCAACCCCTACACCATCACTTTCTCCGATCTCGTTGAGGAACAAGACCAACACACTCGGCTTGTTAGATTAGGCCTCGAGCAGCGCCGCCTCAACGCCATGATCTCCTCCGTTTATGCCGGAACCGCCCAGTTCCAGCTCAAGTTCGTCGTCGTCTCCTTTGGAGCATCGACGGTGAAGTTCCAGGCCCTTCTCGACATTGGTGCCACCGGCAATTTCATCACGGATGCCTGTGTCCGCAAAGCCGGCCTCCCTTCCACCGGCTATGATTCCCCGATCACCATCCGCCTAGGGGATAAGGACTCCGCCATCGTCGTCGACCGCACAGATCCCCGAGACCACAATGACTGTCGCACCTCTTCGTAGTCAGGTCTCCTTCGATGTCATGCACCTCATGTGCGACATCGTACTCGGGACTCCTTGGCTCGACCGCTACATGTTCTATACCTTCACCCCTCTTTCGTCCGCCTCTCCATCCCTCCCGATCCACCCATTGACATCCCCTACCTTCTCCCTCCCTCCACCCCTTCCCCCATCTTTCCTCACCAATTTCTTCACATGACCCGTGAGCACCCCGACTCCACCTACTATTGCCTTGTCATTGACCGCGACCGTCCCAAGGACTTGCTTCCAACAGACAAACCCGACCAAGACCCCCCCTCCGACCCTCAAATCTCCGCCCTCCTATCCGAATTCAAAGACGTGTTTCCCGAATCCTTGCCCGCCAGACTACCTCCCGACCGAGGTGTTTCCCACACCATCGATCTCGAGCCCGGCCACTCCCCCCCTTGCCGCACCCCATACCAGCTCTCCGTCCCCGAGGCCGAAGAAATGAAGCGCCAGCTCAATGAACTCCTTGAAAAAGGATTCATTAAGCCTAGCTCCTCCCTTCTTCGGTACCAGCTGTCTCTTCGTCAAGAAGAACGGCACCTCAGAACTCCGCATGAGCACGGACTACCGCGCCTTGAACCGGGTCACGATCAAGAACAAGTATCCGCTTCCCCGGATATCCGAACTTCTTGATCACCTCCTTGGAGCCAAATACTTCACCAAGATCGACCTCCGCAGTGGCTTCCACCAGATCCGCATCCCCGAGGAGGACACCTACAAAACCGCCTTCTGCTCCCGCTTCGGGCACTACGAGTTTCTCGTAATGCCTTTTGGTCTCACCAACGCCCCCGCCACATTCCAATCCACCATGAACCACATCTTCCGCGACCTCCTCGAAGTCTGTGTCGTGATCTACCTTGACGACATCCTTGTTTTTAGCCCCACCTTCGAGTCCCACCTTGATCATCTCCGCCAAGTTCTCGCCATTCTCCACGACCAGAAATTCTACGCCAAGCTCAGCAAATGCACATTTGCTGCCTCTAGCGTAGAATACCTTGGTCACATTGTCTCCACCGACGGCATCCGCATGGACCCCAAAAAGGTCTCTGCCCTCGTCGAGTTCCCCCCTCCCACCACTTTAACCCAACTTCGCTCCTTCACGGGACTCGCCAACTACTACCGCCCCTTCATACGCAACTTTTTCGACATTTCCTACCCTCTCCATGAGCTCACCCATGCCACCGAACCCTTCGCTTGGACAGACCGCCGCCAAGCCGCCTTCAACAAACTCAAGGAGCTCATCACCACTGCCCCTGTCCTCAAAATCGCCGACCCCACTCGCCACTTCTTGGTCACCACGGATGCCTCCGACTTTGCCATTGGGGCCGTCTTATCCCAACACTTTCCCCCCGACCCCGTGGAAACCCCCTCCATCAAGGACTCCCCCACTCACTCCCAATGCCCACCCGGCGAGCACCCCATCGCATTTGCCAGCAAGAAACTCCTTCCCACAGAAATGAACTACCCATCCAACGAGAAGGAGCTCCTCGCCGTGGTCTACGCCCTCAAAGTCTGGCGCCTGTACCTCGACGGGCAATATTTCACCATCCGTACCGATAACACCGTCGTTTCCTCTATTCTTACCAAGAAAGACATCACCCCTCGCCAAGCCCGCTTGCTCGACTTCCTTGCCCAATTTACCTTCACCATTTGCCACACCCCCGACAAAAGCAACCGTGTTGCCGATGCCCTCTCCCGCTGCCCCAACCACAAGCCCCTTGAGAAAGTCTACGCCGCCATGACCCACATCCGACTCCTGCCATCGCTCCACCATCGCTACACCCAAGGATACCTCTCTTGCCCCGACTTCTCCACCATCTACAACAAACTCCGTAACCTCGACCCCGTCTCCGGCTTCGCCATCCACGACAACCTTCTCTACATTGAAACCAAAGGCACCCGCCAACTCTGCATCCCTGACACCCGTGGCCTCCGCACCCAGCTCTTGGCCGAGCACCACGACGCCAAGACCGCTGGCCACCTTGGTTTCCAGAAAACCTTTGATACCATCTCCCGTTATTTCCATTGGCCTTCCCTCCTTGCTGACGTCAAAGCCTACATCCACTCGTGCCCCACATGTCAAGCCGTCAACCCCTCGATCCGGGCTAAGCCCGGCATGCTTCAATCATTGCCCATCCCCACCCACCGCTGGCAGTCCGTCTCCATGGACTTCGTGTGCGGTCTTCCCAAGACCGACCGCCGGCATGACTGCATCTACGTCATTGTTTGCCGCCTGACCAAACGTGCTCACTTCATCCCATGTGCCACCTCGCACAACGCCAAAGACATTGCCATTCTCTTCTTCGACCATGTCGCCAGACACCACGGCCTCCCCGAGAATATCATCAGTGATCGTGACCCCCGCTTCCTCTTTCAATTCTGGAAACAACTCTTCAATGCCTACGGAACCACGCTCAGGTACAGCACTGCATTCCATCCACAAACCGACGGACACACCGGGAAGATGAACGATACTCTCCAAAGAATCTTGTGGAAGTATTGTCATCCCCACCAGCACGATTGGGATCAGCTGCTCACCGCCGCCGAGATTGCCTACAACAACGACGTTTGCCCTTCCACTGGCATGTCCCCCTTCTACCTTGACCTTGGCTATCACCCACGCTTGCCTTCTGACTTCTTGCTCCCCTCGCAACTCAACCCATCCTCCCCCTGTCCCTCTCTCAATGAATGGATTGCAACAATGAACCGTCTCCTAAGAGAAGCAACCGAGTCGATGAAGCACACCTAGGAACAACAAGCTAAACAAGCCAACAAGCATCGCCGTGATATCACCTTCCAAGTAGGGGACAAAGTTTGGCTCTCCGCCAAACGCTTTGAACCCGAATAGGGCTTGTCCAAGAAACTCTCGAACAAGTGGCTCGGTCCCTTCCCCATCATTGAACAAACCTCTCCCGTGAACTACAAACTCCAGCAACCCCCTGACATGAGCCGCGTACACCCAGTCTTCCACGTAGAATATATCAAAGAATACCACGAATCCCTGCCTGAGTTCGCTGATCGCCCATATCCTCGACCTCCACCTATCATGCTTCCCACTGGACCAGAATTAATAGTCGAATCAATCATAGGAAGAAGAACAACCCAAGTCGCAGACCATCCGGAACCAATCACCGAATACAAAGTCAAATGGACCGGATACCCTGACGAAGAATCAACATGGGAACCCCTTGAAAATCTCAATAATGCCATGAGACTTGTCCGCACCTATGATCGTTCCCACCCTGCAGCATAGCTACCCCCCCTGCCCATACCCTGACTAAACCCTGAACCCTTGCTTAAACCCTGCTACAACCTCGCCACCTTGCTCTACACACACCCCCGCCACAGCCACCCTTTCCCTTGACCGACATTTCTTATGTCTGATCTGCCCTTGTTCCTCGCCTAGCCTTGCCCCATTCGTCCTCTCCACTTCCTTGTCCATCTTGTCCAATGCTGGTGGACCTGCGTGACGACCAGCGATAAAGGATCTAATGGCATGCGCACGAGGGCGATGGCTTGCTGCATCACTGTTCATGGAGATTATGCAGCTGGATTGGCCACCATGCTGCTACAACGGCCGGCACCCTGCCTCGCAGACTCCCTGGAGCAGCTACTTGTCACATGAACCATGTACCAGTCTGCGACTCCCTTGCTACCGGATCAGACTCCATTGCCAATCATGTACCGGACGCACCTGAGCACTTCGACTTTGGCCTTTTGGACTACCTCTACGACCAACTCCAGTCGCAGCCGCTGAAGACCGCCTTGCTGCCTACTTTGGGACCTGCTCAAGACCTCCGAAGACCCCTTTCCTGCTGCTGATCAAGGCACTTGAAGACCCCCCAGACCCCTTGACCCATTACAGACCTCAGACTGTGTACCCAGATCCCATCAGACACCCCAACCCTTGTACATGTGAAATTGCCCTCGAACCTGCAACATGCAATTCTTTTATTTTATTTTTCATCCCCTGACAACCCATAACCGTGTAGAATTTCAATAGAAATACCCCGTTCACCCTTGTAGAACATCAGTAGGAATACCCTATCCCCTGTTCACCCTTGTAGAACATCAATAGGAATACCCTATCCCCTGTTCACCCTTGTANTTGTAGAACATCAGTAGGAATACCCTATCCCCTGTTCACCCTTGTAGAACATCAATAGGAATACCCTATCCCCTGTTCACCCTTGTAGAACATCAATAGGAATACCCTATCCCCTGTTCACGCTTGTAGAACATCAGTAGGATATTCTGTTACAGGCTCCCCCTTGTAGAATATCAGTAGGACCATCCTGTTTCCCCGCAATACCCTTAGCCCACCAGTAGGATAGCCCTGTTCACAACCCACCAACACGACACCCTGTGCCTTATCACCTACATTATACCCCTTTTCCTCCTTCGACTTGTTGACCAGTGATCGGCCCCATCCCGTCCTTCACAGCTTTCAGCATGGCTTCATGACTTTTGGCAGCCGGGACGTTGCCTTCTAGAGGGAGGGGATAGTGTTACGGACTCCGCCAGGGCTCGATCCCTGGTCCATCTTTTTGCTGTTTCTGCTACTTCCCGTTTTCGGCCTGGCACCCTTTTTCCAAAACCCCTCCTTTAGTACCATCGGATTTTGGACAATTCGCGCCATGCTACAATTCGGGCGCCACTTTCAAATACCGCACTTTTCAGTTCTGCCCTCGAGGCTTTTGCAGATCTGCCCCCGGTACTGTACCGGACACCCGGTACTTATACCGGTGCCCCGTACAGTACAGGGACCAGTCTGGTACCAGTTTCCAGCTGCTGTACTCGTACCCAGTGTGACTTGCTCCTGTTTCGACATTCGGAATCCAAGACTTCGACTTTGTGTCCTTGCCATTGTGTCTGTGTCCGACCCTAAGTCGTGTCCAGTGAGTGAGTGTGTGTGTGTGCTCTCACTCTCTCTCTCTCTCCCTCTCCTCTCCCTTGGCTCTCCCTGTCTCCCTCAGTCTCGCGCTCATTACATACATCCCCCAATGTAAAGCCCTCTCGTAAACGGCCCATCCCCACCCATCTCATAGCACTAGGTGAGGGTGCCCCTGAGACGAACGGCCCGCGCCCTGAGCGTGAGCGTGGGCGGGCCGAGCCAAATGGGACCCGTAGTGGGGTCGACTCAGGCTCGAAAGTCTATCAGGGTATGGCCCTACAACGGCAACACGACAGTTCGATTCCTTTAATTTGAATATGATCAGTGGTTGGCAACGGAGCAGCATACCGCGACACTGTACTATTGATTTCTGGCCTCTGACGCTTACATTTCTGAGTACGGCAACAGGTCTGGGGCTGCTGTGACTCACTCCTTTCTGATGATATTGATTTGGCACTGTCTACCGCAAGTCGGTATTGTTATCTCGGTGTGGTTACTGGTTCGGAAATGGGTCCAGTACGGCTGCCTGGTATGGTACTTGGTTTGATGACGGCGGTGCAGCTGTTAAAACGACACTGACATGGTTCACTGTGGTTGACGCTCTCGTCAGAGTTTAACATAATAATTGGTACCGCTCGCTGCGTTTGCCACCGCCGAATGTGGATCGCATTGGGGGCTGTTGTTCTATGGATACAGCGTATTGTTCGGCCTTTGTTACAGCCCATTTGCGCGGCACAGGCCCCAAAGGGGGACTGTATTGGAATTATTGTCGTACCCTCCGCCGTTTCCGTTGGGTCACATGGGTGCCACTGCGCCGGTACCATAGCTTACCGTATCGGCTGGCCTGAAATTCCAGGGGCGAGTGTCTGCGGGGCCGCGACAGGTACCGGACGGGGGATACAAACTAGAGCAGTGGAGCAAAGGGGGATGCACGGACTGGGGTGGGGGACTGCGTGCCAGGCGTCCACATCGTAGGAAAGTGAAACGCGCAGAAAGCCCGGTTGGAACGGGGAAGCTCTGGAGGAGGGAGGCATGCCCGACGTGCGCTGCTGACAACATGACTAGATACCGAACAAGGCATGGAGAGATCAAGAGGAGAGAGGGCATTCGGATGAGGGAGGAGAGCCTATCAAGGGAGGTATCACTGAGTGAACGCGCGGACAGCAGTGTGTGGAAGAAATGCAAATCGAGTGACGTTTTAGTGGGAGTTTTGTGCTGAACTAGAGAGCTGCGGGGTAGAAGTGTACCTGTATGTCCCGGGTCAAAGGACGAATAGAGGGCCGCTTGTTGAAAGTCGCGCTACCGGGGTTTAGTCCCACTCGGAGTCGCGGAGGCCAGAAGTGGGTACAAAAGAAAGAGGCGAAGCTACGAGTTGAACGGGGAGGGCGCAGTGAGGAAGGTTGGAGTTGAGTACAAGCAGGTGGGTGCTCTTGTGATCGGCTCCGACGTCCACAGCTTGACCTGCCGCGTGGCAAACTCTGGGGGCTGGAAAGGGGCTTCCACTTGACACTACAGGTTGACTCTACTCGAGATGTGATCACGCGACGAAAAGGGCTGACTCAGGGAACGATCGCTCGTGATCGGGTTACTCTACAGTAAGGCCTGACTCAGTGGGGTGGCCTGCTACTTGGACACGATCAGATCACTCGGCATTAAGGACAAAGTCAATCAATTGGTCTGCTGCCTATTCTTGATCAGGTCGATAGAGGCTGAAGACTAAGCCTGCGAATTGGCTCGAGTGGTTCCGCCTGGATCGCGCTGGAATATTGGTCTTCTGGTCTATTCCGAACAGGTACAATAATTGGATTGGTAGTTTCTTCATGTTCGATCTCGTGTGTATGGACGTTGGGTTGCTTGCCAACATGTTGGAGCTAAGTCACTCCCAAAAGGAGGGCTGCGGACAAGCCCTCGGGCGCACCCTGGAATGATCCCCTTCGACTGGTGCACCTCTGTTTTCCTACGATCGTCATTAAACACTCTTCCCTTTTCACTCTTAATTTATTCATTGTTTTGTGACTCTTTACTTGTTCGGCAAAAGGGCCTCCCTAGTGAGGGACTGCATCAGAGGCTAAACTGGAATGAGTGAGGGAGAAGGGGTGCACGACCAGGGTGGCTGTGCTGTTTGGGGGAGGGCAAGTGAGCGCGTGTAAGTAGTGGTGCAAGCCTCCGTGTGCAG